TGCTCCCTTCCTGTTCTAACTCTGCACTCCCACACAGGCTCTGGTGCTGCTTCCACAGGATGAAGCAAGCACAGCCCCCTCCTCCTCTCCCTGATCTCTCCCTTCTGGTGCCATCTGTGCTGCTGTAGAGGTTGCTTCACTACCATTAACGTGGTCAGGAGAGGTCCTCCTGCCTCCTGCTCTGAGATGTCCTGTGATCCAGGTCCCACTGACCAGAGCCTGCAGAGCCTGGAGATGAGGATGTGGGTCCTGTGCCTCCCTGATAGAGAAGCCTCACTGGAGGAAGGAAGGAGGTTGTCTGTACTAAGTGGCCCTTCCCTAACTGACCTAGTGTAGGTGCTGGGTGGGATTTTCTTTCTAGGTTCTCCTCCTTTTGTTTCCAGGAGGTGATTCCTAAATTCTAAATGCTTACTTAATTACAGTTCTCCCTTTGTGATCAATTATTCATTATGAACACTATGCTCATGATGACAATGTCCTAAAATTAAACCTTACCTCTTTCTTTCCAATCTTTTTTCAGCCAGAAGTGGACATTTCTTGTTCACTATTGGTGCACTGGGCATTCAGTGAAATATTTTCCAGTACAGTGTAGCAAGAACTCTCATGATGTTTTCCTACCCAGTTCCATAGCACATGCTGTACAGATTCATTAAGATCACCACAAACAGATGAAATCTATGAATTCCATTATTGAGATTCTTTGAAGAATTCTTCTCTGAGCTGACATCCTTATCAATCTGTCTATGAGTCAGGAAAGTGGGGCTGAGGATTCCTGAGTGAATCACAATGGAGAGCAGAGGCCAGCTCCATCACTGGGAGATGCTGAGGATGGGGACTGCATCTTATGATCTCCAATGTGAAGAGAGGCAAAGCAGGAAGCAGGGGTCACTGTGGATGTGACCTCTTCAGCAGGGAGGCACAGTGTTCAGCATCATCACCACTGCCATGAGGACTACTTGTCAACTTTGGAAAAGGAAAAGCCCCATTGGAATCCTCACCTGTGATCCACAAGACCCCCAGGCTATTGTGTCACACCTGTGACTGGGATGTGTCCCTGGCTTCAATGCACTGTCCACTCAATACATTGACTGGACTGTATCCATGTCTTCTGAAGTTCTTATTTCTCCATGTCATTTCCTGGAGAGAGACTGAAATATAGCATATTGTACTCTGTACAATTATTATTTATTCATTAGTACAGATTTGCAGGATATAATGATTGCATTCCTCATGGTCAGTTAGATAATACAAGGTGCTTTTCTACCTTTTTCCTCCCCCTCCCCAAATCTAGTCATAATCATGTGGCCTGAATGCAGGTAACAGTCGAGTTCACATTAGTAAGGAGAAATAGATTTACAGGTTTTATATGGACCCTCAGGGTAGGCTCTGGACAAGGGTTTGAGCTGTTCTGAGTCTAAGCAAGAGAGCACTGACCCTGACATCCAGGAGTAGACAAATCTGTTACTCTCTGGGTGGGCAATTGTTGGGAGCCGTGGCACTGTCAAGTCATCAGACGCGGTGATTGCGAGGCCTGTGGGAAAGTACAAAAGCCTGAGCTAGATTACCCCTCTCATCGAGCCCGCCTGTGTGGCACCTGTTTCTTATCACCCCACTAAGTTCCCGCCTCACAGGGTAGTCTGCCTAGCTATTAATCCTATATATAGCCAGTGCCTCCACCCCCGAGAGAGAGAGAGAGAGACTGAAGCACAAAAGGAGCCGCGGGGAGCGGACCGGTAGAGGCTTCGGGGCAGACTGAAGCACGGAAGGAGCCGCGGAGAGCGGACCGGTAGAGGCTTCGGGGCAGACTGTATAAGGAGAGAATAAAGAAAAGCCTGACCACCGCCAGACCTTGTCGTGTGTCTTTCCTGCCGGCCGGGAGCGACATCGACATTTGGTGGCCCGCACGGGGATTGATCAACCCCGAGACGCGGCGGTGGACTGCATTCTCCTACACAGTGCTGCAGCTGCAGGACAGGTGAGTAGAGGATAAGCCTGGGCCCTGGGTGGCGCGCACCTACAGGGTTTGTAGACTCCTCTCAACCTCACGCGTAAGTGGCGGGTTTCTTGGGCCTCACGCGGTGAGTATGAAACATAACACCAGAACTTAAGGTAATAAAAGAGTGTAAAACATAAACATAGAAGTAAAAATAACAGAAGATATATTAAAAATGGGAAACATGCCAAGTAAAGATACACAGCCTTGGTGTTGGTCCTTCGGAGACTCCTAAAGTCCAAGGACCTCAAGGTGGGGCGTAAGACTTTAGAAAATTTCCTTGCAGAGATTGACAGCTTTGCTCCCTGGTTTCTGCCTACAGGGCATGTAAACCTGCCCTCCTGGGAAAAGTTGGGCAGAGACCTTTCCCTAGCAGAATGGGAGGGTAGAGCTTCAGTCTCTGCTCGTCCATTGTGGGAAATGATACACACGTGCCTAAAGAGTGAGGGTAGTTACGGGGGGAGCTCTCAAGAACTTGTAGAAGTACGCGAGGTGTTTGAACAGGCACAGTGAGGAAGCTCCCGAGAAGGGTCCGTCAAGGAGGGCAGAGATACAAAAGAGGAAGCCGAGGCGCGGTTTGTGTCTTTCCGCAGGAATCGGGACGAGAACCAATGTGGGTCCCAGAGAGGTTGACGCGACAAGTCCCTCGACTGAAGATCAGGCCTGTTCCACCAGAGGCCAACCGCAGACCCAACAACAAGATGAGCCCTAAAAGAACTGCAGGACAATCCCTTTTTGGGGGCCTGGAACGGCTTGCTCCCCTATGTGCTACCCTTGTATAAGCATGGCTCGCTCGCATGGCCTACGACCGCGTTTAAAAGTGACAGGCTTCCCACATTCTCCTCCCTAGACAACAACATGTAGCAGGGTGGGTGAGTCAATGACGGGTAAGAGCGTGCCTCCCCAGCACGACTCAACCTAAGCCAGGCCCTACCCCGTTCCGCTCGAAAGCCGCTGGATTGTTAGATAAATTTCTCTCCGAGGGGATTCGTGGAGAGAAATGAGTGCATGCCTATGTGCAACCAGGTTCCGTCCGGTTCATTCTTGGCCCTGGAAAAAAGGACGAGGGCCTCAGGGCCTTGGTGGACCCTGGGACGGCCGACCAGGGTCTACGCTAAGGGCCTACGGTGGGCCTCAGTTCGGGGCATAGGCCTCTGCACTCTATCCAGGACGGGCTGCGATGCGCGTAGCCATCATTTAAAATAAAATAGGGGGAGATGTTGGGAGCCGTGGCACTGTCAAGTCATCAGACGCGGTGATTGCGAGGCCTGTGGGAAAGTACAAAAGCCTGAGCTAGATTACCCCTCTCATCGAGCCCGCCTGTGTGGCACCTGTTTCTTATCACCCCACTAAGTTCCCGCCTCACAGGGTAGTCTGCCTAGCTATTAATCCTATATATAGCCAGTGCCTCCACCCCCGAGAGAGAGAGAGAGAGACTGAAGCACAAAAGGAGCCGCGGGGAGCGGACCGGTAGAGGCTTCGGGGCAGACTGAAGCACGGAAGGAGCCGCGGAGAGCGGACCGGTAGAGGCTTCGGGGCAGACTGTATAAGGAGAGAATAAAGAAAAGCCTGACCACCGCCAGACCTTGTCGTGTGTCTTTCCTGCCGGCCGGGAGCGACATCGACAGGCAATGGTTCTGATCTTTGATACCAGATCCCTCTACCTCCCTGCTCTGAGGTCATACACCCACGGTTCTGATCTGTGTTCTGAATTACACGACTTTGATGGATTTGTAGGAAGACTGACATGTATTCCACAGAGAGAATAATAAAGGTTCAGTTATGCCTAAGCTCTTGTGGTGGGGAGGATGTCACTGGCTCTACTAAATCCTTGGAAGGTCTCTGAGGATTTGTTCACTAAAGTTAGGAATGTGCATGTTTCCTTTGTGGGTTTTGTTATTGAGAAGTGTTGCCTGTACTCTATATCGTGTTACAGTTCTGGTGGGAAGATCCAACAATTAACCAATTCTGACACATGAAGAGGAAGAAGAAAACACCTGGAATGTGTCAGTGAGGAGGAAGTTGATAACCAGGGACTAATATGGTGATGGATTTCACACTTAGGATGTGAGGAAGGTTCACAGATTGATTTTTCCTCTATTATGAGATGATAGTATAAACTAAGGGTGAGAGGTGAACTTTGTGAAACACATCTGAGAAGAAACGAGGCTCTTCATAACTATCAGGTCGAGAATTTGGAGACACAGTGACACAGAGGAGCAGCGGTAAGCTGAATCAAGCACAGCTGAGATATATGGTGAGATGAAAACCCAGGAGTTCCATGTTCTTCCTGGTTTCATTCATTACTTTTCTTTGACACACAAGTTACAACATTAATGCTAAATCTGAACTCTTACTTGAGGTGTGTTTCCAAGGTCTCAATTTGAAAATGATATCTACACAATCATGATTAAATTCTGAACAACAAAGAAAAATGAAATGGAAGGGAACTCATAAAATATTTCAGATTTTCAGTGTTCTGAAGGAAGCTGTAATTCAGAAGGTGCAATGGAGAGGATGAGACTCCATCTCAGGGAAGGGCATATTCCCAAAGATGTCCCTACCCTGAGGGAAAACAACAGATGCCCTTGAGACATCACATCAAGTACATGAATTTTCAGTCCTTAGACAAGGGACACATTAATGGGGATGCTGGACTAGGTAAAGAGCAGAGCAGGACTTGGAGGTTGTGTTAGCCCTGGGGATGAGAGTGAGGGTGAGGTCCTTGGTCCCATCTGAGAGATGGGGACTGTGTGTGAGAATTTCAGCTCTTCTCTGCCTTCAGGAACCATGGATGTGCATGCAAGGGATTTCGTGCTGTTCACTATGTTACTGGTCACAGGAAACTGTAACAATAAGTGTGATATTAGTAACCATAGAGGTACATTTGGTTGTTTTAGAAAAATGTACAAATACATGTGTGACTGTTAAATACAGAAATTATTGAAATAAAATAAAACACATCATGGTAGAATCATGGGAATCCATTTAGGAAAAACCATGCACATTGTGAGAATAGAGATTTTCACCTCATTTATTTTCCATTGTTTTCCCAATAGACTGAAAACTGAGAAATGAGTAAAAAGAGACAACACTAACAGGAGAACGGAGAAGCCGTGAGCAGCAGAGGAAGACCCTCTGCTTCTCATCTGTCCATACCCTGGGCTACAGCAACATGAGGGAGAGCAGGATGACAGAGGTGGGGACCACAGACATGGGAAGGGTTGGACCTGTGGGTTGAAATCCAGAGAGGGAGAATTCAGGAACCCAGCAAGAATAAGAGAGCCAGGTTGGTGGTGTGGTTGGATGAGGAAAATAGCCGGAAGCATTGCAGTCGCCACACCACATGTGTTGGCAAGGCCCTGTCAGGTGGGGAGAAGCAGCAAGGAAGCTGTGCAGCCTCCCCCTTCTCCCACCAGTAACACACATATAAGCAATGGGACGGAGTGCAGGCTAAGATGTTACTAACTAAATTAAGGCAGCAACATTTAAATTATTTGATCGACTCTGCAAGCCTGGGACAAAGCCTGAGCAACTAATTAGAGGATGAGATTATCTAATACAGTAACAACAGTGAATTCCCCAGTGTCCTAACACAGTTTTGTTTTGTTTCACTTTAATGTTCTATTTTTCTTTTTTAAAATAAAATAAAAAAAAACCTAAAAAGTTAAGAGAGAGAGAGAGAAATGGAGATTAAGATAGAGGATGGTTTTGCTGTATTTTATAAATTTTTTAATTTGTAAGGTGCAAAAGAAAGGCACAGGACCAAGTCCTACTCAGCCCTCTAGTCTAGAAAGAGCACATCTAGGTCCACAGACACTGCCCTGAGTCCAGTCAGGCTGCCCCTCTCACTGCTCCCCTGAGCTCAGGGTTCCTCATGGTGCTGGGGCTGAGCCTGGGGACCAGGTCTCCTGAGGTGGCCAAAGAGGGGAGGGAGCTGTGTGATCTGAGACCCCACAGACAGAGATGAGAAGGATTTAATTTCCTAATTTGAAGCATTTATTACTGCGTGAGACAGTTCTTCATTACCCAAACTAAACCAACAGACCCACTTTAGATGGTGAGGATTTGACACTGAAAACAAAATTAACTTCACAAAATGCACAAGTTACTTTGAGATGTGTGAAAGTTTTGTTTACCCATAAGTACAATTCATACACAGAAAATGAAAAAAATCATTGTTCCTTATGTACTCATGCAATTACATTTAACAGAGAATTTTTCCTTGAACTTTGGTACTTCAATGTGGGTTGGTTCAGGACCTAAAACGTTAAAACAGAAGAGAACCCTAGAGTCCCCAGGAAGAGCTCCCTCCCCTGCTTTCTTCTCAGCTCCTGCTTCTGGGGCCTGCACGTGATTCTCTCACATTACAGCGACTTCTGCTGGGCATAAGCGCTGCTTCCAGGAGGTTTTTTCTGGGCTCACACAAATGTTCCTTCACTGTGTGTCATGGACACTAATACAGGGCTGTGTTCCTCCGTTTCAGGCTGCTCATCTATGGATACAGCATGTTCTTGCCGTTGTCTCTGGAGATGGTGAATCAGCCCTTCACAGAGTCTGCATAGTATGTGCTACCACCAGCACCTATGTATGAGATCCACTCTAGGCCCTTCCCTGGAGCCTTTGGATCCAGCTTATGGCACAGCTTCTGACAGTGAATCCTGAAGTCATGCAGGAGAGTTTCAGGGATGCCCCAGGCTGCACCAAGCGTCTCCCAGGCTCCACCAGCTGCTTGTCAGCCTGGACACCTGCAAACACAGGAACATTCTTTTGCTCTACAAAATAAAGTTTAAAGCCAACCTAAGCTGCAGAATGAAACCTTGTTTCAAAAAGACACAAGAATAGATAAATAAATAAATAAAATTTAAAAGTCAAATGAAAGAAAATACAAGTTATCTAACGTTTCTCTAAAATCCCATTTTCTTTTTAACAGTGCATGCTGAGGAAATGGGTGAGAGAGCCTGAGTTCAAAGTAGTTGTTTTAAATCCACAGAGCCCTCGGTGATAGGTGGTCACTAAACAGCTGAGCATTTCCTGGGCTCTGCTTACTCATAATTAGCTCTGGCTATGGGGCAACTCACTTGGGACACTTTCAGAATCAGCGCGCTATTATTCTTCCTACTTCCAATAAACTCTCTGCTAACATTTTTCCTTTGGTTGCAACCTCATTCTTCAATGCTGTGAGACCAAGAACCTTGTTCCTTCAGTAACATCATTGCAAGTGGAGGAATCACGTGAAAAACTACAGTGATGGTTTGCCCAAAGCTCTTGCTCCTTGCCGAGTGGTGCAGACACAGCTGCGCCGGGGCCAACCAAGAAGACATCCTAGGCTGGCAGTGTGCGAGCTAGCACTGTGCACTGGGGACCCAGCACTGTCCCTGCCCGAGCAAAGGAGGAAGTGTTACGAATGACGACGTAGCACCAAGGACCAGGGAGACCTCGGCGTCTGGAGCTGAGCAGGGAGGCTGTGCACTGCCACAGCCGTTTCCGACCACTTCCCTCCAGAACACACCCGATTTCGTCCCATCCCCGGCTCCCGTCCTACAACGTCACCATTGTGTGGCTTTAGGGTCTCCCGGGAGCCTCTGAATGCAGCGCGCAGCCAGGCGATATTACACAAAACCCGGTCTAGTCAGCAGGGACTCTCAGCAACACCGACGAAGCCCACTGTACGCCATGACACAGGAAGTGCCCGTCCCCTCGGCCCACCTGATTGGGTAGCTCATCCAGGCACCGCCTTCCTTGCTGATTGGCTCCTGCTCTATTTTCTGACAGCTGAGCCGCCAGAGAAGCAATTCTCTTCTGGACTAGGCTCTCCTGTGTAACTCTCATCTCCTCTGACCATATTAGCATTTAAGGGCTTTACTCCTGGCTTTTGAAAGCCTTTCTGGTTTTCTTAATGGACGCGGCGAATTCTTCCAGCAAATTGGTCATAAACGCGCTCAGGAGATTCCAGAGTCGCTGTCCTATAGAATAGTCACTCCCTCATTGCAATAATTTACATTCCCTCCAACAATGCACTAGGGGTTAATTTCTTCAACGTACTTTATAACACTTGCTATTATTCATCTTGTTATTTGTTTAAATATTCTTTGAAATAAACATCTCTAGTCAACTACTGTCTTACACTGTAAAAAATAAATTGCACATGTGTGGATGGGTCTGTTTCTAGTTATGGGAGAGCAGTGAAGATATTCTACACATGGTATAGGAGTCAGTGGTTCTTGGTTTACTTTGTCAAGATCATTTTCTTAGATGAAGGAGACGTATTTGATATATTGATACGAAAATTTTAAAAGATGAAGTTCAATGGTGGGTGCACCTTCAGTTCCTGTCAAATATTTCCTGGTGGCTCTTTCTGATGTCCTGCTCTCCGTGCCTATGATACCACTGGTCTCCTAGCTCCCTTCTTGAGGGACCAGGGCACACATGGGTGTACATTGGTGACTCCATGGGAGATTCTGCAGGAAGGTCTTGTGTTTCATTCTAAGAAAGTAGATTTAAAAAAGCAGATTCGAGAATAAAAACTAAGTGAAAAATACATTATTTAAAAAGATAATTAAAAGAGCTCTGAGTTTGATTTATGCAGTTATATAGCACAAGGAATGTAAGATTTAAGTTTTCCAAAGTTTTATCCATTTTTAATCCCGGGTTATCTCTCTTCTGCCTCTAATCTAAATATCAAAACTGGTGGTGAAAGGAAACATCAATAAGGTCCTTTTCAATGGAAAAAGGTATGAATTACTGCCTGTGCGTCCTCAAGTTCCAGTCCTGTGATCACAGAAGACTCATTTTTACCTTCAACAATTACACTTGAACATGTGTACAGATGAGAATATATCTTACTATTGAGTTAAATTTTTACTTCAGGAGCATGAAAGATAAGCACAGACTCATGAATGCAGAGTCTCCCGGGAAATACGTCACGTGGACCGAAGCCTCACATCTCCACAGGAAATAATTCTGCTAGATCCTGTGCTCCTGTCCTGCACAAGGCTGAACTCCGTGTGTCCTGTGCGCCCCCTGCTGGTCCAGAGCACCACAGCAGGGAGGTTTGTGTAAGGGCTCACATTGATGTCCTCTCACTGTGTCTCTTGCACAGTAGTACACAGCGGTGTCCTCGGGTTTCAGTTTGGTCATTTGAAGATACACTGTGCTTTTGGAATTATCCCTGGAGATGGTGAATCTGCCTTTCACGGATGCAGCGTACTCCGTAGTGTGACTATTAGCCGCGTTTCTGATAAAACCAACCAACTCTAGGCCCTTTCCTGGAGCCTGGCGATCCAGTACATGTAGTAATCGCTAACGGTGAATCCCGAGGTCACGCAGGAGAGTCTCAGGGACGCCTCAGGTTGCACCAAGCCTCCCCCAGACTCTACAAGCTGCACGTCAGCCTGGACACCTGCAAACACAGAGACATCTTGCTCAGGAAACTGTCACATATGTCTACCATTTATCCCACTCTCTCCCACTAAATGTCTCTTGTTCCTCACTGATTACCTTTTAAAACAGCAACAAGGAAAACCCATCTCAGCGCAAGCTCCATTGTGGACTGTCTGTGCTCAGTCCCGATCCCTGAAAGGAAACACCTGGGAGTCCAGGGCTGGAGAGTGCAGAGCTGCAGAGTGAGGGCTGGGCTGGTTTACATTGGGACAGGGAGGCCCAATTTGCATGGCCTCCTGCTTTATAGAGGGCTCTGAGGTCAGGAAGTAGAAAAACTTCAGTAGAAGTTTACATGAAGTCTGCAGGTCAGGTTTGGTGAAAATAATATGATTATGTAAAACAAGAATTTCATGTAACTGTTATGACACTCAATTCTAATTCATAGCCTTAATTCATTTTTACATATTTAAATACATTATACAGGTGTCAGTGTTTGCTCCATTATAGAAAGGTTGAATTCATTACAGAAACACAAGTGAGTGATTCAGTGTGACCAAGTGTTGATAGATGGAGTGAGAAATACAGGGGAACCAGGTCCTCCCTTGTGATCTGCGGAATAGAGTTGGGCATGTGCAGTGAGATTCACAGAGCCTCTTTCCTGTAGTTAAAATGTGCGCCTATTTCTCTACCTGTAGACTTAATCTGTGTTTCAGGGATGCATCCCCCTGTGCACATCCAGGTCGAGCAGCATTGAGGAAGGCTGTAGGTTGCCTGGGAGACAGCCTTGATTCAGATCAGGTGAAGCAGGTATGCACAGACGTATCAAACACCAACTGAAGGATTTAACTAGTTCTCTTAGCATGAGAAAGGAGATTCACCAATGATAACTGCCCCTGGAGAGATGGTGGCGGTGCTACTAGGTACCAAGATCAGTGCCAGGCCTGGGACAGTGACTTTTCCAGATTTCTCAGAACAAAGGAGCAGTTCCCCTGCTAGCAGATGGACAGAGGGCAACAGTTGGAATGGCATATCCCGGAAGGAAGTGTGATGTGGTTTCACTATCCCATAAGACATTTTCAGATTCCAGCAGAGCATGTTCTGAAGCTACAGCTGTTATCTAAAGCTATCATGGCTTCAAATGGATCAGTCCATGGTAGGTAGAGGCCAGTGGCAGAAAAATAGAAGAGACAAAGGAGTTCTTCATAAAACACAAGTACTTTGGTTGAAAAAAGAAAATGTAATCTATTTTGATCAGGGCATGCTGCCTGCTATGAGTTTTATGGGAAAATTACTTTGGAAGAAAAGAACAAAATTTCTATGGCCCCAGATGGAAATGAGGGTTTTTTTTGGGCTTTGGCAGCCCAGAATATGGTGGAGGATTTGTATCAAAAAGGCACCTGGTGCACTTGCATCTGCTACGTGGATGATGCATTGGTTAAAGTGAAGCCAATGGTTATTGAATTCCACGTTGAGAAAGGGCAGACTGTGGAGCAATGGTGATAGAGGAGAGAACACTACAGAGCCAGGTGGAGTGGTTTGTTCCATGAATGGTGGATAATGGGTGGTAGAATAGAGCAAAATTTCCCTGGCAACATCTCAGGTACGGAGCTCGGATGGACAAGTGCTGTTCTGTTTGGGCCGCATCACCAATCACATCTTCATCGTCCTATGTCTGAGAGATGCTGTTGGTGTTGATGAACCTCAGCTTTAGCGCCATCTGGCTCACAGGAAGATTCCATATGTGGATTCCTGGGGTGAGTTAATTATGCCAGACAAGTCATGTGGTATAAATTGCCAAAAGTAGCTTCTGACATCTTCCAGATTGCAGAGAAGCTTGCGTTGTATGAAGGTTTATCGAAGGATGGATTTTCCCCGCTTAAGCATGCAGACAGTCACAGTGTGAAGGACAACCCAAGTGCTTTGTTGCCCTACACCACTGCTGGCTATGCAGTGCTCACAGGTGGAAATAGTTCTCCCCTTCCAGCGATTCCCCACTTGAATGATGCCAGTGATGCACAGATCCAATGTGAAACCTCTGGTCTTATTTCCTATGCTGGAGAAGAACTGGAAAGTAATGTGGCAGGTAAGGAATTCCATACAGCTTTAATCACTGATGGTGATGGAATCCATGAGCTGATAAAGAATGGCTTACGAGTCACTTACCAGATTCTCACACAACAGGGCACAGCTTTTTATTATTAATAGACCAACTGGGAACCTACAGGACCTGTCCCAGCAGACTAAAGAGAAAACAGTCACAAGATATTATGCTGCTTGATGAACTCTTGTATCTACTGCAGACTCCCAAGGTCCAGATGACTGAGCTTCTGACAGCATTTTCATGGTTCTCAGTTCACTGAAAGTTTGACTTATGTTTCTTTATTGTTGATTTATTCCCAGGTCAAGGAAAACATTGGCCATCAAGGAAATTTCTTATAGCTTCCATCAAGCTTAGTGAGGACGTTCAACAACACTTTCCTTGGAAGTGGAATCTTTTGTTTGAAATTGTATATAGTAACAATATATTATTGTACTACTTAGAAGGTACTTATGGTAAAAACAGTTCGTTTTATTTTATCAAGCATTAAGCTTTCTTCTCCTTCTTCTTCTTTTTTTTTTTTTTTTTTTTGGCTTTTTCGTTTTTACCAGTACCAGGGTTCGAACTCGAGACTGCCTGCTTTCGAGGCAGGTGCTTATGCCGCTGAGCTAAATCCCCAGCCCCGCATTAAACTTTCTTAAGAAAATAATTGGACAACAAAATAAACACCTGAAAAAAAACTAAGGAGACTCTGCAGTCAAGTGAGTTGTAATCAATAGTCTTTAAAAAATTACTGTGCAACAGATTGTGATACAGAAGTTGGAAAAGAAAAAAGAAAGAAACCTCATTCCATGTAAGCATGACGCTGTCTCACCAGGGATATAGGAGATTTTTGGGAGCTCTGTGCCTGGGACCACTGAAGGGCATGCACATCAAATGAAGGGAAAACCTCTCAACTTTTTCTCCTTATTTGCTAGGAAGGTGGTTGTTTTCATCAATATGTTCTGCATGCTCCTTGCTGTTCCTTGATTTCCCTGCAGGGAGGTTTATGTCAGGGCTCATGCTTGCATCAAAGCACCATGTCTCTTGCACAGTAATAGGTGGCTGTGTCTTCCTTGGTGACAGAGTTCAGCTGCAGGGAGAACTGTTTTTTGCCTGTGCATCTGGAAATAGAGATGCGGCTCTTGAGGGAAGGGCTGTAATCAGTGCCACCACTGATACCTATGTTCCCCATCCACTCCAGGCTCTTTCCTTGAGGCTGATGGATCCAGCTCCA